GCTGCAGAGGTGATGGAGGTTTTTGATAGGTCTCCCACTGACAAGGAGCTTGTGTCCCAGGCCAAGGCTCTCTGCAGAGACTACATAAATTCGAGGCTCATTCGAGCAGGTGTCAGCTGGAGCAAACCTGAGTACAATGTACCAGTGCCTGGCGGTAAGCTGGCCGAGGTGTCCACTATACTGCTGCGACTAGGTAAGTCCCTGTGGGTATGGGTGTGGGAACTGAAACTATATGGAGCAATTCAGACCAGACTAAGGTTTCTGGAACTGATGAGCTCCAAGAGGCTTTGCATGTCACGAGACAGAGGTTTTTCTTCTCTGCTTTGGGCATTTAGATTTGTTTTTGGTGGTCTTCCCTAAAGAGCTCCTTTACTTGCATTTCCTCAGTCCCTTGAAGCGCTGCTCAGCAGTGTTTCTGCAGAGCTCCTTTTTTTCTGAGGACTTGCTACAACTTAAAAGCATGATGCAGTCCAAGAAGGCCCAACAGCAAACTAATCTGATCTGCATAAGACTCCAGCCGTGTAACAGTTTTCACAGTAGTTTCAGTAGTCTTTCTTACCTTGGCATTTTAACAGGTATTGCAGTGCTTTCTCCAGACACAGGTGACTTGGCTGCCGTGACGCAACCCAAGCTGGCATCTGGGGCTACCTCTAGATGTGGGCTTCATCAGTTGCTTGCCCAGCTGCAAGGACATTTAATTTGGGTGTAGTGGCTTAGAGCACGTGTGTTGGAGATTTTATAAAAGCTGCTTTTCAGGGTGTTTGATTTTTCCTTTGCCTACCTTAATCATTCAGCAAGACATGAGTTTGCATGTTTTTTGTTGGAGCAAGGAGGAGTTGGCTGATTTTGCCTGGCATACACTGCCATTCATTGCTTAAACTAGCCAGCCCCTGCCGTGGCCAGGTGACTGCTGGGACTGCAGGGAGAGCAATTTGAAGGTTATGCCTGTAGGATGCTACATGAAGACATGCTCTGCAGCCATGCTTGTACTAGGAGCACCCTCTAAATGCTGACAGTTGCCTGGCCTTTTGCTTTAGGTTTTAGCCTCCTGTGTGCTTAAGTCAAGCTGTTTGTCTTTTGGGATCTTGACACCCTCGTTCTTGGAAGTTGCTTCCAACAGCCCTCTTTGCCTGCAGGCTGGTATATTAGTTCACATCTGGCTTGGAAACTACCACTAGCATTTGCATCTGATTTAAATACACCAAAGTTCAAATAAGTCTGGTGAAGTAACCTTTAGCTGGGCCTAACAAACTCAGATCAGGCTGGTCTGCCAGCTTTCTCCCCTTTATTTCTACTTCCATTTGATATTATGTCAAACTTCTTTTTAAGGCATAGCTGTATATCTTTTAACTGACTTTTTTTTTTTTTTTTCATTTGTTCTTTTTAACTTTTTCTCTCCTATGCTGACTTTACTTCTATTTCTGTTTTCAGTGGTTGTTTGGGTTTGGGGTTTTTTTTGTTCTTCTGTCAATCTCACTGCCGTTTTGTCCACTGTTTCTTCTCTGCCTGGGTTGGGGGTTGAGATTTGTTTGCTTTCAACCAGATCTTTTGTGGGTGGCCAGGAGCATGTTAAAGGGCAAACAGGTGGCAGACTGGATCTGAAGGCGTCTCCTGGATGACTTTCCTGTTACTTACTCGTGTCCAGATGGAAAGATTTGGCTGATAGTCGCAGGAACTTGGCGCCTTCTCTGAGCAAATCTGTTTGGAGGGAGCCATGTGGTACCTATGCAACGAGAAGGGTGAGCAGACCTCCTTATTAGGATGAAGAATTGTTTCTGAACAGTTTGTTCAGAAACATCGCCTGCCACATGGCCTGTCCCTTTCTTTTCCCCTTTTCAGCTATAAACCAGTACAAGGCTGAGTGGTATCCAGCCACCTGCCAGGAACTGTAGTCCTTAGCTGCTTACTGAGCAGTGCAACAAGCCGGACCAGTTTTTTTTTTCTCAATGATAGTGCTGAGAAGCCTGTGGAGATGAGAAGTCAGAGTATTTCCTAGCCCTCTTGTACGTTTCAAGGCAGTAGAGTCTGATGCCCTGGCTGGTGGGCTAGCAGAGGTGCCGGGCACAGGTGGTGCAGTTGCAGTCTTGGGGAGTGAGAGCCCATCAGCTCAGTGATGCTTAGCAGCTAATTAATGCAATTAATGAGTCAGAGGTGGTAAAACCTAATGGTCTGGCCAAGTGAGACAGCCCAGACCAATCTGCCACGTGTGTCAGAGGTCTGGTTTATCTGAACTTGCCTCTCTTCTGGCTAAGGCCCAGGCAAGGGTCGTTTCACTGCTGTACTGAGCTTCTGCATGTGGGAACTGTCACTGGTGCCCTACGTGTTCCTCCGTGATTACTGGAGGAAGGAAGAGAAACACAGAAATTGCTCTTAAATGTTGCTAATTGTGCAGTTGGGTGTCTGAACGCGGATACTGAAGACTGCCACCAGTGTAACATGCTGCTGGAGGATTCCTGGGACCGCTGGGGCAGGGAGTCTCTGTGAGCCTGCGACTGCTTTCCTCTGCTTTTCTTCCTCTGCTGCTCTTGTCCGCACTGTGCGTTGCTGCAGGGCAGGGCCCGCTTCAGCAGTACGTGTGCCTCCAACCAAAACTTGATCTCATCTGGGGTCTCCAGGCACTGCTTGTTAAAAGCTGTAACAGTGGCAGGCTACCAAGTGCTGATCCCAGCCTACCATGCCTCCCTCTCAGCTAGCCACGGGCAGGGCTATCCCCATTTGCTTGCATTTGCAGGGAAGTCTGTGAGCTCCCTGCGAGGAGAAAACAGCTGTTGAGTAGTGCAAGTAATGTTTCCTCTTATCAGGGCTGACCATGCGTTGGCAGGGTTTCCTCTTGCCATCAGATTGTGTGGGACAATCCCACGCACACAAAGGACCAGGAGAGCTTGTCCGTCAAATTCTGTAGAGCTGGGCTTTGCCTGTGCTGTACGGAGTGCCAGTGACCAGTTGAATGAATTAATGTCCAGTAGCTAATGACTCTGTAACAAGCTTTTCACTGGAGTGTCATCTTCTTTTTCAGTCCCCATCTAAATTAATTTTTCAGGAGGATCAGTTGCCCTCTGACTAGGGGAAGTCATCTGAGTCTTGCAGTGGGATGTAAAGCTGTTGTGACAGCTCTCCTCTTCCCCTGGATGCTCCAGAACACCCTTGTGCAGGAGAAGGATGCAGAGCAGTGTCCTTCTAAATCGAAACCAAATAGGACTCTCCATGTAGAAAGGGCCTTGGTCCCATGCAATGTTTGTGTTGTGTAATGCTCCTACAGCAGCTGTGCAACCCTCATTAAGTATTTGTGAACCCGAATAGAGAGATAAATCCACTGGAAACTGGGCTTTATTAATCCTACTGCTCAAAAATATGTTGTTTTGCTATAGAGGAAAAGCCTTACTACTGTTGCCCAAGCTCCGTAGCACAAACACGTGGGAGGTTCTCTGCTTGTCTTTGGTATTTCCATCTTGGTCTTCAAGCTAGCCTAACACCTCCAACTATATCCCAGCTGGGGAGAAAACAACCTGGAGGTTAAAGCATGTGTCTGTGCGTGTGTGGAGAACCTTGTTGCTGAGGAGCCAGCCAGGCAAATGAACATCTCTTTAACCCTTTGGAGGAGAGAAAGAATTCCAGATTGTCACTCTGTGCCTATGTGAGCACAAAATAGCTGAGCTGATAGTCTCTTTGCTCAATGTTGTGCAGCTCTGGGTGGATCCCTGGCTTTCATCAGCCTCCAGCATTCTTGAGTCACTCTCATCTTGAGGCTTTTTTGCACAAGTCTGATGGGGTGTTGAGAAAGGGCGTATCTCTCAAAAGCTTATGTAGATGTACATGACTCCTTTTCGCTTCTGAAGGAAAATGAGATGGCTTTGCTTATTTGAGTCCTGTCTCCTATGTTGGAGGAAAGGCAAGCATCCAGCCTGGGAATATCATTTATATTGGAGACCACTGCAGCCACACCACTGGGAGAGGGCCATTGCCTGTCCCCACTCTCTTTGGAAGTCCCAGGCACAGGGAATATTAGGAAAGCAGAGTGCAGGTGGCAGGACGTTGCATCTAAATGACCCTGAGCACTCTGCTGCCTGTTTAAAATGAGGTGGAGCAGAGGTGAAGTCTCTTCAGCTAGAGGAGTATGTGGGGTGGCCCCAGCTGTAATTCCTACACGGTGAGAGCAGGACTTGGTGTTCTGCATGCTGACTCCTGACTGTTTGTTTCCAGGAGATGAGCTGGAATACATTCGTCCCAACGTCTACCGGAATATCGCCCGCCAATTGAACATCTCACTGCACTCGGAGACAGTGGTGACGGATGCCTTCCTGGCAGTAGCTGCGCAGATTTTCACTGCAGGTACTGTGCCCTGACAGATATGCAGACAGGGCTGGGCGGGAGAGAACAGGATGGAGCCACTTCTCTCGGAGCAGGCATGTTTCTCGGATGGCCTGCAAGGTGGGGCATGGTTTCTGAAAGGGCTGTGGGCAGTTTGGCAGTGTGCCCTGCTTTAATGATTTAATGAGAGCTCCTCTATGCTCTGTTGTTCTGGCAGGGAATTGCTCTGTTTTATTATATCCTCCTGGCAGGTTCTCGCTCATTCTAGAAGGCATCTCCTGCCCTTCCTCGTTAGGAGGTAGTGTTACCTCATTGCACAGGGAGTTCACTCATTCCAAGCTCCCTTGCTCACCATTGGCAACTGGAGAAGATTCATTACATGGGAGCCTCCCTTGTTCCAGCTCACGCTGCTGATGTTTGGAGCCAGAACCAACTCATCACAAGGGAGTTCCTCTCTTTCTGGCTTCCTTTTCCCCAGCAATAGCCAGAACTGCAATGGAGCCTGCTGCTTCCAGTTGCTGCTTCTCCGTTCTCATACTCAGAGAGATGGGATCCTCGGCCCTCACGGCTAGCTGTTCCAGACGAGTAGATGCTTTGAGCTTTCTCACTGTTTAGGCGTGAATATTCTGCTTCTGTCTGACTGGTCCTCCCGGAGATGGTTGTCAAAAGCAAAGGTACATTCTGTGCTGTGTTCCTGCGAGGGAACCTCAGGCTGCCTGAAAACAGTCCCTGCCTGTGACTGGGAATGCAGTCTGGGGGAATCAAGGGAAGAGAAATGTTTTACATGGAGACTTATGTCAGGCAAGTCCTGACATGGTCCTGCGGTGTTTCCTTGTGGTGTTCATGGAAGGGACAGTAGATGTTAGAGACTGGAAACAAACAAACAAACAAAAACCCACAAAAAAAACCCAACCCAAAGACTTGCTAACAGCATAGTACTGTGAAAACACTGGATCCAGTGACATTGACATGGGGAAGTGTCACAGGAGGCAGTGATTCTTGTTACTTTGGGAGTAGTTGGTACAGGATAGAAGTCCAGGTTTCTGTTGTACTTTTAAATAGGCTTCCTCACTCAAAACCTTTTTATCTTCACAATCGACTATGCATCTTTATGCATATGCACTGCGCGGGAACCACTGACACCCAGAGAAGCCCTGTGCTGACGTCCTGGACTTCAGATCTGAAGTGTGTTGTGGTGGAGAACACAGATCCTCTCCAGAATCGCAACAGATGACAAAATAGATCTCTGAGAGACACTGTAAAAGCATGGCTCCCAGCAGGTCTGGTAGGGCAGATTTATTCCCCAGAAAACGGAAGCTGTGCCATAAGAAATGGATGTAATTGGATTCCATAGCTAGTACTGCTGCCCTCGGCATCCTTTCAGAGCATGTCTGGAATGCAGATTGCTTTTGCACTGGGCTGGATTGGGAGGCCGTATGGGCTCAGAAAGCAAGAGCTGGGCAAGTATGGCAGGGGGGGCCGGGGGGGGGCGGGGGTAAAAAAAATGCCTGAGGGTGGCTGTGTTCAAAGTGCAGGTGCCCTGTCTTGTCACTTAGTGCTGAGCTTTACTTTCCTTAAGGCTTACAGAAAAACGAAGGTCAAGTTTGCAGGCTCAGGTATTTGTATTGCAGGTAAGTAGGTTATCTTCTTAGATGACTATAGCTGACTACATCAGAACTGGCCCACCTCCAAAGCTGAAGTGACACAGGGAATTAAGCCAGAAAGGTGGATGGCTGCAGGTGGAGCAGACTGTGCATGCTGCTATGCTACATAAACATGATGCTGGGGAGAAAGCCCTGCTGGCTTCTGGGAGTCCTGCACTTGCCAATGTATATTGACAGATTCATTGAGAGCTGCATTTTTTGGTGTTTTTCAACTTCTTAGCTCAGGAGTCAAGTGAAAAGTGTGGATGCTTTCAAATGTTTTTGGTGAAAGTAAAGCTAGAAATTGTAACCCTTGGTTCTAAACTTGGGGTTTTTAGGGTATTAAGAATGGGATCTGGATTCAGCCAGTTGAGGCTGGCAGTTCTAGAGATTTTGGGAACACGGTAGAAGCCCAGGATCAAGCTGTGCTGCTAGTGCTGCTCCTCATCTGAGGACACCATGCTGAATAAATGGCTGGCAGTTGGCTGGCAGCACAGGGGACGGGTTCAAACCTTCCCAGTGTTCTGTATGCTCCCTTTTTCTTTCTTTCTCATCTCTGCCTCAGAGCAACTAACAGGAAAACCTCTGAGCATGAAGCTGGGGTTGTGTATTCGATTGCATTTATCAGTTCATTTCTCTTGTTACAATGCTCCTGAGTGGCAGAAGGGGAAGAGTTTGCTGATTTTTAACATTCCTGGGTCCCAACTGCTGTCTCAAGACTCAGCATTTAATGCAAAATCCAGCAAATCAGAGTTGGCTGTGGCAGCCAGACACTCATTCCTTTTTTTTTTTTTTCTCATAGTTCAGAGGAAGGAGGCTCTTATTGAGCAAAGGAAACCAGAGACTCAAGTGCAGTCTGAGTTTTTGTGCCAATTGCCAAGAACTAAAGCATCTCAGCCTGTTTTTCACTGTCCAGTTTGTTAAGAAAACAGCTACAGCCTGGGCCTGCAGTGCCTAGACAGTCTGGGGAGCCCCATTAGTCACTCATAATGCCTTTCCAGCAAGGGAGTGGGGGATTGTGACCCTATCTCACGGGAGAGTTTTTCTCTGTAATCTTTTATGTGACTCTATTCCATGCTCTGGTCTGGTTTTGAGTCTCCATGCTGTAGCTCTGGCTGGGCTCGCTTCCTGTCCACGCTGTCTACAAGTCTTGACTAAGTACAAGCCCTAGATGGACCTCTGAAGAAGGCAAGACTGAGGACATCTGGCATCCTTGTTGGTCCCACCACATGGGTACATTGTGCTATATTTGACTTTATAGCATTCTCCATTCAATTTGTCTCAGGTTTGGCTTTTCTCTAGTGTAGTGAGGACAGCTTGAATCCCAATTACAGCAACATTAACAGCTGAGAATATAGGCAGAAGGGGAGCCAGTCACAGCGCATGGTAAGGCTCAAGCTGTATTTTGCTTCCCTGTTTTCATACAACCTGTTAGATATTCAGGGTGAGGAGGGCCCATCTGTGTGGAGACTGACACCACAGAGCCCTGACCTGCATTGGATGTTGAAGGATCTGCAGCAGCATCACCTCTGTGACAATACCACTGGTTGTGGTGTGTGGTCCAAAGCTGCTCTGCGGCCAGCAGGAGACTTTCCACTGACTTTAACAGGCTTTGGATTGGGGCCTGGCTGAGCTGGTATTTACATTAGCTGTTTAAATAAATCCCAGAAGGAGAGGGTCACTTGGTGGAAAAACGGAACTAGAAAACAGAGATGCATTTTCCTTTCCTAAAGGAAAGAGTTTCCTCCAGTTGGTAAGAGCTGCTAGGCATGAGGGCTCTCTAAAAGCTTTCATCGTGGTTTTGTATTGGTTTGGGTGCTTGTCAGTTTTTAATCAAGAATGCTTGGGCTGAAGTGAACCCGATACAACATGGTTAATGGGTTCTCAGGAGAAAATACTTCCCCCTGCGGGAGCAAATGCTGTTAGATATGCATCCTGTTGCTTCCTCATCCCTTAGGCCTTATGAGTTGAGCTTCCTGCCTTGTGCACATCCTTCTTGGCTTCTTTCTTTCCACTGGAGGAAAGTATATTGTGTCTGCTGTAGTCTCTCAGCTGTTGAAATGTAGCACTTGATCATGTTTCTCTTAGGTCTGATTTGAAAGTTCGGCTTTGATGCTGAATGGAGCAGAGGGAAGTTTATTTGAGTAACCTTGGATAGTGTGGTGCTCTGAGACTCTGCACAGTCGTGTCTCATGGCTTCTTGAGCTCTCCCCTGGGGCAGGCGAGCTGATATGCAGTGGGAATGCTTTCAAGAGCGGTCCTTTCCTGCTAATTCATTTTCCCCTGGGCTCGCCAGTGTTTACATGCCTTCAGCTCCATGACTGGCCTTGAGTCTGCAACTTGTATTTCTTATTTTTTTTAAAATGCCTTCTAAGCAGCTTTTCACTTTTTCCATGTCCTTTTGTTCCATCTCTGTGAGCAGAAGTTTCAGAGAGGAGAGCCTCTGTTTTGATCACTCCTGTCTTTTCCATTCCCTCTTGTTGTTAGCTCCTGTGGATGCTAGTCTGCACAGTGGGAAGCTGTGAATAGATTATCTCTCTTAGTGATGAGTGCCCGTCTCACCCAATGTGGATGACAGCCAGACATTTAGAGGAATTTGGAGCAAGACAATGAGTCTTCTCTGCTCATGTGCACTGGCCAGATGCAAATCCAGTTTATGCCAAGGGATGCATCAAGCTGGTGTCACCCTGGCTTGGACATCACAGGGGGCAGAGGCAGTGCCCTCCCAGTAGATTGTGCTCCTCTACCACTGCCAAGGGAACCCTTGAGAAAGAAAAGTTAATGGAGCTGGTGTTCTGGAAAAGTGCAGATGAGGGCTGCTGTGGCCTGTTCCCCTGCCCTGCCTGGGGCTGGGCAGCTGCTGGAGCCCTCCTGGGGCAGAGGGACCAGCCACAGCCATGACCCTGCTTTGGTCTCAAGCTGCTGTTAGAGGTGTCTGCTCTTCCCTTGCTTCAGGGCCTGTGTGAATAAGAGCAGAAGCTGTGCCCTGCTGTCTCCATCTTCTGCCTCCAGCAGTGGCAGTAGGAATTTCCATGTGGAGAAATCAGGAGGGGATTTCCTCCTCTCCCGCCTCTGAGGCCAGCTCTGCTGGTAACAGGAAAAGCAGACTGAAAGATTGGTTTGACCCGTATAGGCATGCTCTGTGAAGAGGAGGGTAATGGGAAGTGACTGCTGAGCCCTTCACATCCATCACCACGATAAGCATCAGCCAACAGCTTGTCCTCCTTCTGCTGTCTGTGTGAGAGGGAGAGGGACTCTGTCCATGTGCTGGGGAAGCGTTCATCTCGTGCAAGTCCTGCAGCAAGCACTGCTATGTAGCAACCTTGGCAGAGAAGCCAGGGCTTTCTCTCCATACTCCCTGGGAGGAGACCCCTGAACTGACACGTCTGTAGAGCAAACTGCTTTCCTGGGTAATAGGGAAATCAGGGGTCTATTGAGCCTTTATCTTTCATAGGTTGGGGATACACTTTTCTGTTGGAAAGAGAAACTTGGGCTTAAAACTAAGTTAATCAAGACTGCAGCTGTCTTCCTCCACCAGGGCGGCCTTGGCCCCCTGTCAGTCTTTGTTACTGCCATGTAAATATCTGAAAGCTAATGGGCTTGCTTCAGATACTTAAGAAAGAGCACTGTCAGTAAAAGCTTGGGAATAAGCCAGTGAACTCTTCCCTGGAATTTTGGGTAACTTTCGTTCATGTAACTCAAAAGGAGCTACACTTCTGCAGGCATGGAGAACTGTAAAAACCGACTTAGACTAAAACTGAGCATAAGCCAGCTGAGGCTCTGGTCCAGGAGATTGTGGTCAGCAAGAGGTAACCCCTGAAAGGCTCTTTCACTGGGTGGAGAGGTATTGAACTGCATCAGAACAGCCTCTTTCTTGCCAGGAGAAGCCCTCTGTCTAATATTTTCTCAGGTGGTTTCATAGCCTCTTCCTGGCTCATTCTGCTGGCTGTCATGGTGACACGCAATGTGAGAAAGACAGATAAATAGTGTGAATACCACACAGACGGTGAACTTCCTGAGTGACAGTTCTGGGGAAGGGACACCGCAGGCCCCACTCAGAAAGTAAAATCAGAATAAGAATAACAATCAATTGAGCTATATTAATAACTTCCTCTGATCTTGGAGATAGTGCTGGTGAAGCACAGAGTGTCACAGGAGAGACTGAGCTACTGCTGTTACTGTTTGTAACTGTTGCTACAGAGCCTCACAAAAGGATCATGTGTAGGTCTTCATCTTCTGTCAGTCATAAGTGAAAAAAATGGCTTTTTTTGAAAACTGAATGGATTTTCTTTAATCTAACAAGCCATTCCAGTGGCTGACATTTGAGAATTTTCTCTAAAGTGTAGGGTTTTTTCTTTTTTTCTTTTTTCTTTTTTTTAAAAAGCAAGCAATTCCTAAAAGCATTAGTGTGATTGTCCCTTTTGAGGCCCTGAGTGGAAGGATTGTAGAAATGCTCTGAAGCCTGCACGTATTGTAAAGGAATGTGGGGAGTTCTGCTGTGGTGTGAACAGATGTGAGGAGTCAGGACCTCCATCCCAGAGAGATGGGTCAGGGTGCCTGAGGACCTGGGAGTGCAACGAAGGAAAGAAGGAGACTCTTCACTCAATTTGAATCGTATTTAAGGGTTTGCTGTCTCAACTGATAGATTGCTAAGCGCATCCAGTTTTCTGATTGTGTGTTTAACCCCTTCTGGTCCTTAGATCTAGTGACTGAACTAATCTTTCCTGTCTCTCACCTGTTTTCTTTCTTGTTGCAACCCAGCAAGAATGGCTTTGTGTGGTTTTGAAATACTGAAACTTCACCTGGCTTCTGGCTACATTTGGGAGAGACCTCAGACTGTAACTAACACTGTAAAATATTTCACAGTATGCTTGTCAAATACTGTTATTCCAGATAATAAAATAAGGGGATCAATTCAACTTCCTAGCAGATCCAAAGAAAATCCACATGCTGTTGTGCTGTAGTAGTTCTACGTGGGTGCAGAAGGGTTGCGTTTCCAGGTCACTGGTCCTGATAAAAGCCTGATGAGGGACTGCTGGTTGCAGTGTTTAAGTGTGGAGGATTTATGCCCAGTGGTGTTGGCAAAGCATGAGGGAGACCCAGGGAGGTTGGCTGGTACCCAGAAGCTGGGTTCAAGCGCTTATCGCTAGCACTAACAGGAAGATGACTGCTGCTGGGAGAACTTCCATGGGGCATTCGCTGCTGGAATGCTTCCAGCCCAGCAGGAAGGCTGTTTCCTGGGAGATAAGATAACCAACTGACACTCCATCCCTGCACTGCCTTCAGTGGGATAGGATATGCAATGTTAAGTATTGAAGGCAGAGTGGCAAAACCCTTGAAGCTACCTGGTTTTCAGGTGGAGACTGGGGCGTGCTCCTTACATCAAGGAGAACACCAACCCTCTTGGCCCTGTAGCTTTGCGTTGCTTTTTTGCTCTTGTGTCATGGAAGAACTAGCTGAAGACACTTATCTCGTGTGCTTTGTGTGTCACATTGGAAGTCTCTGCTGATCTAGGAAAAAAAAAACCCACTTTGTATTAAGGGTGCTTAAGAGTTGTGCTGGTGACAAAATTCCCAGGTTGCTCAAACTCTGAATTCAATCACCTCCTGTGCAGCATGTGCATGGCTGAGAGTTAATGGCAATATAAACCATGGTGGTGCTCGTCTTCCCTGTTTTGATGGTGCCTTTGGGCTGCTTTCTCCAAAGCTGGGCACCCAGTGCTGAGAGGGGGTCAAAGCATGCCCAGGTCAGAGCATTTAATTCTGCTTCTCCATGTGGAAAGTTTTCCCCAGTCCTTATCCCCTAGTATTTCTCTTCCCCCATGGTGAAGAGCATGCAGAGCTGTCGCTGCACCTGAACTCTGAGCTGCACACAGGCAGTGCAGGCACGTGTAACGAAGGAGAGCTGTTCCCTTTGAGTATTAAAGACTGAGTTATGCGTGCGTGTGTAGATCTGAATGACCTTTCTTCTTTTCACAGGCATAACATGGGGCAAGGTGGTGTCTCTCTATGCTGTGGCAGCTGGGCTGGCAGTGGACTGTGTGCGACATGCACAGCCAGCCATGGTTCACACCATCGTAGACTGCCTGGGAGAGTTTGTCCGCAAAACCTTGGTGACATGGCTGAAAAGGAGAGGAGGCTGGGTAAGAGGTGCTGCCCAATCAAGCTTGCTTCCACACATGCGGAGCAGAAAATAGCCTGGTTAATGAAAGTCTGAGTGCCCCCACTGCAGCTTTATGCAGGAAAACATTGAATAAGACTCTATTCTGCAGCCCTGTGGCCACCACCATCCTACTTACACCTGTGCTAGACTCCCATGTAGCTCTGTTACTGCCTCATGGTCCTATCCTCAACAACATCAGCTATTCTGGTCCTCACTTTCCTGTGTAGCTGTGCCAGACTAACTCAATCCTGACCTGCCAGGGCCTCTTCTGTTCCTGATGTGAACATCTCTGGAGCTGCCAGCTAGTCATAGCAGGAGAATGTAAACAGGGGTCATTGTCTTGGGCAGCTGTTTTCTAGAAACTGAAAAATGAGGCCTGCCAATTAATTCCCCTTTCACCTACTCCACAGTTCCCCAAGTCAAACCTTAGTATCTTAAGGTGACTTGCCAATCTAAGGAATTTGAGGGATACTAAAACATGGCAGTTTGTGCCATTCTCTGACCTGACCCTGATGATGCTCCATGAATAATTTCTTCCCATGTAGCTCAAATTGTAGCCACTTTTAAGGGCACTCATAACACCCATCAACAGTGGGAGGGCTCGTGGCTCTGTCACTGGCCTGCTCAGACTGGGTAAGGCTGCTCTGTGTTGGAGTGTGGCTCCATATCCTATGGCTTTAAGCATCTGATTTCTTTGGTTCTCTCTATACCCAATGGGAAATACAATGCTTGTGTGGAGGATGGCTCACAGTAAGAACTTTCGTGCTGCGGAATAGCCAGACACCTTTCTAGTGTCCTTCCCAGGAGACCAAGATGACCGGTTGGCTATGTTAGCAGTTGGCAGCTGGGTGATGTACGTATGTACCAGGGTCTCTGTGCCCATCTGGCAGGGATATAGACAATCCTTGGAGCGATACAGCCAAAACCACTTTGGTGTACTGCCTGGCAGATGCTGCCTGGAGCTAAATATTGCCATATGGCACCACTGACCTCATGGGACATCTTGTTCCCAACATGTGCGCTCTTTCCAGTCTGAGCCACGGTGGCATAGTCCCTCCTTTCCAAGAGGTGATATTTATTGCTGAGCATCAGGAAGTGGTCAGGCTCCCCCACCCTGCACAGACCCAGAGAGAGGGGGATGATTTTTTTCCAATCTGAACATTGCCCCTCTGTGCTGAGACTTCCCAAGTGTGCCTGTAGCTGCTTCAGTCACCTAGTTTTCTCCAGGAGCGAAGGCACCTTTTTGATGAAAGGCAACTGGAAAAGTAGCGTTGGTCTGATTTTTGGATCCCTTGCATTTACTAAGTGTCATTGCCACTTTAAATCATCCCTGCCCTTCCTAAAACTGTGTGACCTTAAAGCAAACTGAGTCAGGGAACATTTTGGTTGGGCTAAAAAGGAACCTTTGATCTGAATGCCCTGGTCTGTTTTATTTTGAGTCCGAACAAATAATTGTGCTACGGTAGGTGAAGGGGATATCCTGGGAAAGCGACCAATTAAATAGCACTGTTCCTGCCTGTGAAACTGATTGCCTGTAGAGCTGGTTGATTGTATTCCCTACAACATTTTTTCCTTTGGAAAAAACCCAGTTTCGTTAAAGTTGAAATGTTGCATAGGAATGTGCCTCCTCCTAGTCTCCAACTAATTTTTTTCTTTGTTTTGGTAAAACACGCATGTTCTGATAAGTTAGCATCTTGTTTTAATTTTTGTATTACATTATTGGAGTTCAAAACAGCATGTTTTGATAGTTCCAAAAGGATATTTTTGGAAAGTTTGTTGCATTGCAAACAAGCCGCAAAATCCCTTCCCTGACCAGAAGCGTTTCTTTGCAGCTGAGGAGATAAGTCCTGCCCACTACTGGCTCCTTCTGCTGATCATCCCTCTTTGACTGGCCAGCGCGTTTCTATTGGAGTTGCTGAAGCTATGCTTCTTGCTGTCGGGATCTGGCCCTAAGAAAGGGAAGCCAATCTCACTGCCCCTGATCAAACAAAATGACTGCAAAAGTTGCTGGGTTGTGCTGTACAACCTATCTCCAGTACCCTTATCAGCAATTTTGGGCTGCAACAAGGAGATATTTTCCCTCTAGAAATGAGTGGGTTCCTTCAGCCTGGGGAAAGGCTGCTAATCCTCTTGCCATTCTGTGCTGTGCTTCCCTGAATGTTCTTCCTCTTGATCTAGGCACTGCAGCGTGAAATTTCCCAGCCTCATTCGCTAATGGGCCAGATGAAACAGCTCTGTAGTGGGGACCCTTTCATCTGCTGCCTGACCTAGCTGGTTACTCGTTTGTCTTGGCATGGAGTCCTTGTTTCCCCTGTGCACATGGCCCCCGTCTCTCACGCATCAGCTCAGGTTGAGGCTGCCAAGAGGAACCACTGTGCTCCAAGCTGTTTCAGAACAGCCACCATGGAGACCTTGGAAAGGCATTTGAAAGTCTCCACTCAGCAGTAGGTTCCCATTCTGCTTCCATAGGGTGGAGAAAGACCCTACTCCCCAAAGCCCAACCCAAAACAAACCTCTTAGGAGAAACAAGAAATGTTTAACCCTTTGAGGCACCATCTCTCCCTGGGGAGAGTTTGCAGGCTCAGTAGTGGCTTTACAGTAGAATGGAAAGGTGTGTTTATTTTTTTTTTTAGCAACTGTTACATATATTTGCTACAAAGAAGAGCATGCAACTTGAACTTATTTGAATAATTAAGAGGCGAAGATCAAACCGCCACTGCAACAGTTTATCAGTGCCTCACAAGGCTCAAAGACCCATTTTATTAAGTAGCTTTGAAATTTTCAATTCCAGTGCCTTATCAGGTATGCTTTATTTGGATAACAATAGCTAGGGCAATTGTTAAACAGCAGAGCAATTTTGTTTATCTAAGCAAGCACCATACAAATCTGTAAGTGTTTCTGACTTCAGCTCCTCTTGATTAGCTGCCTTTGGGAGGGCATAGCACAGGTTTAAGGAGTTCAAACTTTCTCCCGTGGAAGTTAAGTTAACCCTCTGCAGCTATAATCAACCCGGTATGCATGTTTGGGCCTTGTACTGGTTCACATGAGGCACTAAAGCCCTTCAGAGCTTAAGTTTCTTAGGATCAGCTACCCTAATGTCTGAATACATGTTCGGACAGGTACCTGCATGTCTCGACTAAAGAGGCAGCTTGACACAACTGTGTTTTAGAGATGTGCTTGTCCCTAAAATTGGACAGGACCTTTTAAAAATGCAAATAGGCTGTTTGCTAAGCCATCACTGAAAGCTTTTAGGCAGACCTATTTTACTTTTCTCCACAATGCAGATAAAGTACCTTATAACCACTGGTGCTACATTGCAGCATCTTCTCTTATGTGCTGTCTTGGCTGTTTGCTACGTTTGCTTTTGGTTTTGTAGCTATAGGCAGCAGCATTTCCACACCTTGGTGTTCAGCCTCAGGAGCACCCTGCGTGCTGATTCAGCTTCCTCCTGTCATCCTGTTTCTTCCCATCCTTGAGTGCCTGTATTCATTCCTCATGCAATCTCTACTTGTCAGTTATTTGTGGGCTCAGCGTCTCCTAAAGCTCCCCGGAGAACAGCGGTGCAGGGTGATTCAGCATGCCAGCTTTTCAGACTTCCTCATGAGGGAGGAACTGCTGGAACTGCATGGGAGCTTGTTGATGCTGCTGTCGACAGACCTTTGGTTGGTAGATGACGGTGGAGTCAGTTAGTGTGGCTGTACTCGCTAACCGGACATGGGGATTTGTCCCTTTAGTCCTTCTTTTGTTTTCTTCTAATTATTACCAAGGTTGGTCAGGCGAAGCTCACCCATGTCTTGAACACAGGTGGAAATACTGGAAAAGATTATCAGAGTATTCAGCAGCTCTCATGTCCCGTCTCGGGGCTGAGAGGCTGACTTCCTTCTGCTTGGTTTGTGAGAGACTTGTGTCAGAAGGAAACTTGAAAGACTGCTGAGCTAAGCTTGTAAAGAAAAAGCTTTTGGGGCTGATGAATATTTGCCCTCCTTGTGACCCGATTCTTCTTCATATTTGCCACCCAAAAGCTGTTTCTGAAAACCGCATCAAGTTGATCTGCTAATGGTGCTCCCTCTGTAACAGAATCTCCTTGTGCTAGGCTGAAGTTTAACCACAAACTCAGTTATATTGCTGGCAGAACTTTAATTTGTTTCCCCCACCAGAAGATGCAATTTTCTATCTACCTCTGTCCTGTTTGCTTTACCCTCCAGATATTTTCCACCTTCTCCTCCCAATGCCAGCTGAGATCCTGTCTTCATGAATTTGCTGGATTGTTGTTATTTTATTCATTGCAGGCCAGCTTCTATTCTTGTTAATACTTGAAATCAGCTGCCCAAGCGATCTTTAAATCAGGCCCACGCGTCTGGGAGGCATCTCTGCCAGCATACATATTTCCACAAACAAAGCTTGCATTGCTTTAGATTTAAATTGGGGGTTGGCTTGCTTGAATGAGTTCCAAAGAAAACATTAAGGCAAGAGAAAAAGTGCAAGCAACTTGAGCTGATATTAAACAGGACAACCTCTGGGAAGCATCTTGCTTTACAGAAAAGGATGAGAATGCTGATACTGCCAAGGCTTCCTAGCTCTTTTGGGGAAGAAAGTTTCTTTTATTTAGCTCTTCAAAATGGAAAATGCTTGCCAATCTTCCCGTAGCATTTCTTTCCTCAGGGGTGGCTGAAAAGGGGGATACTTCACCTTGTTGATGCAGAATGAAGGCAGTGTATTTTGCAGAGCTCTTAAACCTGATTTAACATCTTGCAGTGTGTGGAAGTGTCGGAGCAAACATTTGTGGCTGTTGATGGTGTGGCAAAGCGGTGCTGCAGCAGTGCGGGCACGGTGCCACGGGTTGTGGGGCTGGGATAGTCTGAAGCGGTGGCTGATGATGTGGTTCTGGGCATCTCTCTCTGATGATCTCTGTTCCCTCTCATTAGGCAGACATCACAAAATGCGTGGTGAACACCGACCCCAGCCTTCGATCCCACTGGCTCGTGGCCGCTGTTTGCAGCTTTGGTCACTTCCTCAAGGCTATCTTCTTCATCCTGCTGCCTGAGAGATGAATCTGAGTCACCAAGCGCAGCCCCCCTACCCCATCTCCTCCCTGGCTCCAGAAGCAGTGGTAATGGCAATCGCTGACGAGGAGGAAGAGAAGAATCGGGACAAACAAAAGGCTTGTTCTCCTCTCCCTTCAGCTGGGAGCAGATGATCAACCACAGTCTCCTTTTTGCAGCCTCAGGAGCCTCTCTCGCTATTAATCCTTTCAAGAGTCTTGTTTCCCTGGGTGACTTGTGCATGTGGCCTGGCGATTGACAGTCCCTGGGCACGCTGATTGCAGCTGCACGCAGCGTGGACTGTCAGACATCTGTTCCTTTCGGCTGTGTTGCATGCTTATGCCAGGCAGAGGGGCAGAGCAAGGGGCTATTATTTGAAATGGGATAGAAAATAGGAGAGAGGGAGAGTCCCTTCTTTGCTCCGTGTTATTCTCCTTTCAGTCCTTGGACTTGCCTTGCGTTTGTTCTTGTTGTTACATTTATGCTTAAACTCCATCTCCTCCTTTATACCTAACTGGCTTGCTGGGCTCTGCCCACAGCATGGTGCAGACGGTAATGCAGCTGTGGGTTTTTAACGTGATGAAAACTCCAACAAGCTGTTGTCAGATGCTTCCCTCTGACATATCTTGGAAGTAAGACTGAGTGGCCGTGTGAGGAGCATGACTGGAGGGCAGTTGCATGTGCTGTGGTTTGCAAGTGTGTTTTGTGGACTCCTCTTACTGTGCTCACGCGCCGTTTCAAACAGGAGAGCGAGGGGCAACGCCTTCAAGCAACAACTCAGGATTGAATTTCATAATGAAGAAAAATGTTTTCTCCACTGAGATTTCGTCAGAGCTATAAGCGTGTAAGTAGGAAAGGCTGGGGGGCATGGGCAGGAGTTAGGGAAACAGTAAGTGAACTGTCTGGTGTTGTGAAAGGGGAAAGCTGTGTCGAATGTGGCTGATTTACGTTTCTCCTTTAATGTCTTTGGAAGTACAACTCGCAGTCATCTTTGTGGCAAACAATAAAAGAAAATAGGTGGTGTTTCACTATTGCAAAGGGTATTGTATTTGTTTCCAGAGTTAAAAATTCCAAAAAAGGCCAGAACAGTGCAGAGACAAACACTCAGCCCATGCTAAAAATACTTTAGCTTTTCCCATGGTAGGACATGTTAACATGTTAAAACTACTACTCACCCAGCTCATGCTAGGAGTTTAACCCATGTTGTTACCATGTCAGAAACATGTGGTTTTCACAGACAGACGTGGGGTCTCACTGCCGTCCGCCCGGGAAGGCCATGGAGCCTCTTCTCTGCCAAAGCCTCATGGGAGACACCCTGCCGCTGCCTTCCTCCCAAGAGCATGGCATTGCAGAAAAATGCCGTTCTGGATTAAGAACATGTGGCATTATAGGAGTTTTTGCTGTTTGGGTTTGTTTTTTTTTTTTTTTCCTAATTTCCCTCCCACACCCTGTGTGTAGAGGGGCTTTACTGTTTCCATCCAGAAGTTACAAATGGGTTTGAAAATGAAGCAAAGCCTTTACTTTTAGGTTATATCTGTGCAACAGGTTTCTGCTAGCAGTTAGTAGTCTTAAAAGGCAACCCCCCCCCATCCCAAATCACCCAACAAAAACACTCACTGTGAAGGAGAAAGCCTCCTGTTCCATATCGAAGCTGCGTGCTGCCTTTAACAGTGTCTAGGCAGACTCTGGCTACTCTATTAAAAGTTGGGGGAGGGTTATACCAACAAAGTTCCCGGTGTGGATGCAGCTGATGGTGCCCTGAGGTTGGTGCATTTTTGCGTGTGTAAAGCTTGCAGCGCTTCCCCAAATAAAACCAAATTACCAAAGGATTATTTTTTATGTTTTTTTCTTCCTGACATAATTATATCAGCATTAGGGGGTTTGCTGGCACCTCTTCCGCTTGGGATTTTCTTCCTTAGATTCTGTATAGGTCTCGCTATGGAAACTTAGACCAGGTAGAGCATACATGGTGAACTGCAGCAAGCGTGCTTTGAGCAGCACGGAGGGGATCCTCTCTGCTCTGCAATGGAGGCACCAAAAGCCCTATGGTTCCTTGCTGGGGGCTGCAGCTTCCTTGTCTTAAAGGAGCTTATGGAAAAGGTAGACGTTGGATTTCTGGAAATGCCCTGGTTGTGCGTAGGCTTTGACTTGGACAGTTTCGCAGCTCATAAAGTCCAGCTTGCCTTATCGTGCCTAGTGTTTTATGAAGTGTATGTGAGTTAATGGAGCTAGCGTGGTGGAACACTGGGACTGTCAAGATCTTTCTCAATTTAGATGTTGTTTTGAAATGTAATACTTAAGGCTACAACTGCTTTTTCAGTAAACAAGTGATATCAGAGGGATTATGAAGGAGCATAATTGGTGCATTTAACTCTTTAAGTGGCTTTAACAAAAAGATAATGATAAGCCAAATAAAGCAGCATTGCTGGAAAGGAATATGTGTGTGTGGGAAGGGGGTTACACAGGCAGGCAGACAAAGAGTCAGTCTGGAATCTGCTGATAATGAAGAGGTGGTGGAACTCCCCACAAATAGGTTTCAGACTTCTCTGGCTATTGTCTGTCTTGTTGGATTTGCTAGTCCCCACAACGTATGTACCGGAGCTGAACAGTGTGCTGCTCGTCTTGCACTTAGTGTTAAACCAGGATGATACTTCTACCTTTCTCACTCCTGCAGTAACCACAGGGGCACTGGTCTTGCTACCAAAATAAACAGCAAACAGAATCGTGCACACCACTGTGCATTTGGGAAGCAACAGCCTTGAGCCTGATTCAGCCAGGTGTTTATGTTGCATTCAGTTTTAGTTGTAATATTTAGGCATTTCAGAGTACTTCCAGAGGCCCTTTACAATCTCAACAATTCTGCCTCTCTGTGATTTTTTTTTTTTTTCTTTTCCCTCTTCTCTTTTGGCCAGTCCTACCTGATGGGAGACATCAGAGTTGGTTGTTTATCACCCCAATAAACATTCTCCTTTTATACGATTGGTGAAGGTCCTAGGAGTGTGTCTAACTTATTTAGCTGTTAAAGAAAGCCAAGAATGTAAGTACCAAGAATGTTAGGACTATTATGCGGCTTCATCTTGAAAACCTGTCTGTTGTTCCTCTTCCAGCATCAAAATCTGAAAACCCTCGAACAAGCCATCTTACTTTTTTTTTTCCCCCAGTGTTTCCAATTATCTGCTTGAGAAAATTGCTTGTAGTGAAAGTTGCCTTTATTTTTTTTTTTAAGCTGTTTTGCTCACATTGAACGCTCTAAGTGAGACTCAGCTACACCCAAACTGTATTGGGGGGATGCTCCCCTTCCCCAGTCACCTTTCATGCCCAATTTCATCCCCTTTTGCTAAAGGACAGCTGTGACCACAGGGGCAGGGGACAGACCTCCTTTTCGCACCAGGAAGGGCAGCTGCTGGTTCACCCCATTAGGCAGCAGTCACTCGGAGCAGGTAAAATCCAACCAAGCTTTTGCTGCCTTCTGCCTTGCTGTCACACCAGAACAGGCTGGGGGCACTGGGAGGAGGTGAGGCTGCTGCAGTAGGGGCCGGGTGGAGGTGTGGGAGATGCCTAGAGAGGTGCAGGAGGAGGGAGAAAGGTTTGGAGGGGGGAAATGACATATTAAGTAATTTAGTAGTTGCAGAGTATTTTGCAGATGAGAGTGGCCTGTGTGTCACTACAGCGGGGAATGTCAAGGTCGGAGAGTTGAGCCTGCAGGGACCTGAGCTTCAGCACTCCTTTGTTCACAGAAGAACTTGCTCCAGTAAGATTTATCTTCCCCCCCTGGCCCCAGCGCCATCTTCATTCTCTGTTTCTTTGTAATAGACCTACATTCAGTCATTGGAAATATTTGCTTTACCAAAAAGTTAGGGCCAGAAAAGCTGTCTCAGCTTGGGTATTTCAATGATGGGTATTTGAGCACTGGTTATCGTGTCCTAGACCTGACATTGCTTCAACCACAGCATTACTTCTACTTCTCCCTTGTCAAACATTGGCAGTATGTTCGCCTTCTTCAAAGCAACTACAGAAACAAGTGGTCTCAGTCTTACAGCGGATGTCACTTGTGTTCCTGCACTGCCTTTTCTCTTGTGAATGGAAACAAAACAACTTGTGAAGCCCTTAATTTATCAGACTTGCATCTGTGTTATATACTGAAGTATGGAACAATAGCATCAGGGAGCGACATGCAGGTTTCCTGAAGAACTGCAATACCAAACTTCCTCATTTTCAAACTTGTTTAGACCCTGAGAAGAAGCTCTGCCTGTTTGTTGGGGTTTTTTTCCAATTTGTTCTCCTTTTAATGTGCAAAGTCTGCAAGTGGGGTTTTTTGTGCACAATTAAACTGAATATGAAGCAGGTTTCCAGTCCCTTACATGGCTTTCTGAAAAGATCAAGCCCCAAAGGCATTCCAACGGCTTTGCCAAGAGCCTTCTTGATGTGGCTCCCATCAGCGTGTGGCTCCTCGAATTTCTTTGCTGCTGTTGTTTTTTTTAAATCTAGTATTTATCATTTTTATAGGCATAACTTTGCCACAGATTAATTATTCTCTTAGGGCAACATGAAAACAATGCATGCTAAATGAAAGACAAGAAAACAGCAGTTTAATGTACTGCTGGCAGAGTCTATAAATTTCTTCTGTGCAAGTGGTTTGACAGAGGGAGTTTAAATACTCCCTCAGAAAAGCCTCTAAACCTCTTTAACTCTAAACATTTTGACCCACTGGGATTACATGCCCCTAGCACAGCTAAACACAGTGATCCTTGGTTGAACTTTACACCATCACCCAGGACCTGGAAGTGCATTGCACGTTCAAGCAGAGTCTGTGGGAAATAAGAGTGCTCCTGGGTCAATCACACAACATGCAGTCCATGGCCAGACAAGGTCAGATGGGAAAAAAAAAAAAGCTTCCCCTCCCATAGGAGAAAAAAAAAAAGTGTTGGGAAGGGAATTTCCAGCTTCCTTACGAGCATATTTCAGAGCTTTAGCTCAGAAGAAACTTCATCACTTTTTTCTTCCCATAGACCAGCTTAGAATCATAGAATGGTTTGAGTTGGAAGGGACCTTAAAGCCCATCTAGTTCCACCCCCCTGCCCGGGGCAGGGACACCTCCCACCAGCCCAGGCTGCTCAGAGCCCCATCCACCCTGGCCTTGAACACCTCCA